AATTTTAAAAACAGTACGAGACATTGGTCAAGTGACTTCGAACATTTTATACTCTCGTTTTATTTTTTCATATATTCTTACCGAACTCGTTATCTTCATAAACTTTTGTTGTTATATGAATGCAAACTAAACTTGAAGAGCGTTTGTGTTGTTTGTACTTATGAAAATGCTTTTCAGCACTTGAAAATCATATCTAACACAAACTCTAATTCAGCTTAGACAACTTTCATTTAACAGTAAATATTTACAAGATGAACTTTTTAATTCAGAACGGGGAAATTTACATTAGATTACTAATCGATGGTGAAGGTTTTATTAGTAGTTAGTCTCCTAATTCTTAATTGCTTTGTTTAGCTTTTTCTCTTTCTATTTTGTCACAACGAATAACATGCTTTTTACTTTTTAAGAGTCTTGTTTTTTATATTTAATCATCATTTTTATGTATTTCAACATTTTTAATAAATATTTGATATTGGGATACTGCAAAGATATGAGGATTTCTTGAGATGATTGTTTTCCAAGCTATTAAAGAAGTAGAAATCTGCAAAAGTTTGATCTCATGTGTCTTACCTATCTCATCAAGAGCAGTACCACTGCATTTTATACCTAAGAAAACGAGATTTTATGTATTTTTGTCTGATGGTAAATAAAAAGGCGCAACATTAGTTATGAAGAATTATTGTTTTCGAATATCGTAACAGAAAGAATAAATAATTCTAAGCATCTTGTCAGAAGATACAACTTCTGGTTTACATAGAAAATCTAACATCAATATTTGAATATTTGAATGAATTCACTTGAAGCTCTTTCCAATTCATCTCAACTAGTTTACAGGTAGAAGGAGATGTGCTCTATCCACTTCATGGATTACTTCTCCAAAATAATCTCTCTAGCATTGATAAAAATGCTAATTACTGTCCAAAAATATAGAAAAAAAACAGTGAATTCACTTACAATCCTATAAGAATTGTCCATCAGTAGTTTCCAACGAAACAAATGATGCTTATCGATAGAAGTCGTCGTGTTCTATCGATTCCACATCTCTCTAGCTCGACTCCAGCATAGTATGAATGTAAAAGCCGCTAATTAGTCCTGTATTCGTGCACAGCGTAGAGAGAAAATTAGCCATCGGTTTCTTTGTTTCTGTTAATCAACAGTAGAGAACGAAAGAAGATGCAATTATTTCGCTCTTAACATCATTGTGTAGTCGATTGCATAAATATGGAGGAAAGGAAAAAATCTAATTTCTCATTTCATTCGATCAATAATAAGAAAAGAACAAAAACCCTTTGTCCTGCAACTTGACAACGACATCGAGAAATAAAGCATTTATTTTCTTTTCTGCTTTAGCCAGTAAGCCTGAGATATTGAACGATGTCGCGCATTTCCATATGATTAAGAGCAGTGAGCAAAACAATTTTTCTTAGAAACATTAGAATATATGAATTTGAAGAAAAAGGCACTTCTACTGATTGATGGTACACTCTACATTAATTTGTTTAATTCCCAAGTGTTCGACTGTAGTCAAACTGCGACGCAATTGGTAAAAGAGATGCCATAGATGAGATTTTCATTTTATTAAGGCCCCCCCCCCCCTCAAAAAAAGTCAATTTTCGTGAGAACTGTCAAAATTGAGATAAATGCATAGGAAAATAGCCCGTCGTCTGCTCTTTCAAAATCAATAAAAATTTTTCCTAAAACCTTCATTTTTTCCCGAAATATTCCAGAATTTCAGAGAACCAGTTTTTGAAAAACCAGCGGTTTTTTGAAATATCCAGAAATGTTTTTCGTTTTTTCTCGATTTATGATTTTTTGATTTTGGTACAAGGATTTCTCAGTCCGGGTCCGTCCAACATATTTAAATTTTTTTTTTGTTTGAAAGAGCGCGTCGAGACGCAGGTCACTACAGAGTCCTTTTTTTAATTAAGCTTTGTTTTTTATTATATATAAAGACACTTATGTGACTGGACACCCATTTTTGGGGCGTTTTTTGAGTCATTGGACTTGTGATCTCCTTTCTCCGCTAAAAAAGTAAGAATCTTAAAAAAAGGACTCTGTAGTGCTCTGCATCCTGACATCCTCTTTCTAACAAAAAAAAAATTTAAATATGTTAGACGGGTCCGGACTGAGAAATCCTTGTACCAAAATGACCTATTTTTGACCCTTGTTTGGTGAATATCTCAGGCAAGCATCAGGGTATCGAGCTGAAAATTTTATCACAGCCTCCACACTTCAGCCCCAACATATGCTCCAAATTTCAGCCCATTTGAACGTACCTGGGCTGAGATCGAATCAAGAAAAACACAAAAATTAAAGTTAAAAATAAATAAGAAAAATTAAAAAATTAGACAAATTAGACAAATTAAAAAAAATAGAAAAGATAAAAAATTAAAATATAGAAAAAAGCTTTCAAAAAAATTTAAAAAATTACAAAAAATAAAAAGCAATTGAAAAAATATTTGTAAATTATATATTCTACCTTTTGTGGTAGAATAAGTTATGAACTGAAATGTCATGGACACTGCCTTTTATACTGTCTTTTTCTGGCTAAGTTTTACTGCTGGAGGGTGGCCAATTACGAACAAGGAGGAGTGATTTATGATTGGTCGGTGCTAGTTATAGAGGATTGTACGATACGATTATTTCGACGCAGTTACGCACAGTTGCGATAAAAATTTCGCAGTTACGCGCAACTGCGACGCATTGATCACAGTGCACAAAACTGCGGCGCAGTTGGTAAAAAAGAGGCGACATGGGTTGAAAGGGCACATCAAAGAGTGTGAGTACCGCAATGTCACTGATCTGCAGATCTACCTCTATCATCATCAAATTGCGAAAGCAGGTGTAGTTTTCTTTTGTCTTATTTATTTATAAAGATAGAGTGTTGACGATATTCGTCTTGGACAATGGATCCGTAATGGGTGGCTATTTGAAGTTTGATTCATTAGTTATTCAGTTTTTCAAAACTTCATTTCATATATTTGATATGTTAGAATTTACAAGATTTATGATATTGATAAATGAATATTCTGAATCAGTGACAATATTGTGATACAAAAAAATCTACACACTAATCATATTCTGTACAAGCGATTCAAGGTTGTTTATTTCTGTTTACACTTTGTAGGCAATCATTTCAATAATATAAAGTAATATAATGGAGAGAAAGAAGCAGACGACTAATATGATGTATGTTTCATACACGACAAAGAATTGTCTAAATATTGGTTTTCTTTTTATGTAAAAGCTGTCATAAAATCCTTCATTAATTTTCTCAACTGTAATTGATAGGCCATAAGAGAACGATTTGTGTCATAGTTTCAATTGGTAGTATGAATTGGAGCTGGTTTCGAATATTTAATGAAAAACGAGGTGTGATAATGACTCGGTATTGTGTACATAATGAAATGGATAATTGAAAACCAATACATACAACTTGTTGTGCGAGTGTGAATATGGATGAATGTATAAGAAGAGATGATCCACATCCATACACTTACAAATTCACGACCTATTGACATCAACTTATCTTTCAAGTTATACTAGGGTAAATAATATTACATTGCAAATAGGTCAAAGGCCTTGTCGTGGTTTTATGGCCTGCCAGGCAGTACATTAAACTGACAGCTCTGCTGCAAGAGCTATTCAAAACTGTACAGCAAGATGTTACATGTAAGGTATGTTTTTCTTATCTTCAAGAGTGAAGAAATGACATTACTTTTTTGAAATCTCTATAAATTTACAAAAATCAAAGTATTTTAGAAATGATGCAACATCAAGTTCGTAATAGTCTACGAAAAACTAAATACACAGTAAGTATTACTTATATTTAAAATCCTATCTAAATTTTCGCTTAGTATATTTGTGGACAAGGTTTTCTTAATAGAATATTGTTGTTGGTAAGCATTGTATTTGACAAATATCGTGTAATATTTTATTTCATTTCTTCAGTATAGGTAAGCAAACTGCATGATCGTCATTACGATGCGCATGTATTTATAACATATCAAAGTGATGATAGTCGTTAGTCAATACGATTATTGAAGAACGTTTGAGTAGAATACAAAATTATGAATCATGACAAGTCCTTGATGAATCGTGATTTTCAATAGAAATCGAAAAGAAGTTGGCAAAATATCGTCTTTTCTACCGATTTCATCATGATATCATCTCGCAAATAACCAGACTAATCAATCACGATAAAATCAGCGATTTTCACCACACAACTGGATCAATGACATTTTCGAACTTTTTTCTTTTGATTTCTGTATGATCTCTGTTTGAATGTTATTATGATATCAAGAATAAAAATAATGAGTCTTAATAGATGCACTATTCGATAATTTTCTGTTTCATAATTTTTGTTTTCAATATTTTTTCTTTAGGCTTGTCGACGGTCAAACTAAAGTTCAATAGTAACAATCATTCAACATTTATTAACACTTTGGCTGATGACTAAATGCTATTCAACGTAAAATAAGGATTGATTCAAGAAGAATACTATGAAAATTTCGATTTAAATGTAAATCAATAGAAATATTTCACACTAGATTTGATCCATCAATCTAATTCGTACAAGATTCTTTAATTATTTTCTAAATTTCTAATAATTATCAATGTAATTCTTTTACGTTATTATCACAAAATAAAGCAACACTGTGACACATATACTGTGAAAGCGTATAAAGAAAACAAAGAAAAAAAACAGTACGTTGCAAGATACAAATTTCGGAGAAAAAAAAAAATATTCTAATTTTTTTTTCTTCATTAAGACAAGCTAAAATAAAGGCATGTCGTTAATTTCTATCAAGATGTTCGTGTAAAATTGAAAGCGCTAGAATATCAATACAAGCATTAAATATATCACCAGATCTTCATTTACTTTTTGAATTTGTTCTTTTGTTGGCCAACATTTTTGTAAAAGTAAAAGAAAACGAAAAAATAAATTTCTTTCTTTTGCGTTTAATCGTTCAATTATAATACTAACAGCTTTTGTCATATCATCTTGTCTTGATAAATTTTCTTTTGTATTTACAAATACGTATTTTATCTTGCATTTTATATGATATTATTGGTTGTGGTAATGAATGTAAAAGTATTGTAAAAATTTCTGCTGTTGAATAATTTGTAAAATTATAATTATTTTCATAGATTTGATTATGTATTGGTATCAAATCAAGTGAATCTTGTATTTCATTATTAAATATATACAATAAATCAACATTATTACATTCTCTTAAACAATCAATTAATGCAATAAAAATTATTGGTGGATCATTAATCATTTTTACAATATGTTCTGAATACGATTTATTATCATATGTATAAATATATTTTTTTATTTTCATTATCATAATGGGTACATGGATATTTTTCTAATGATAAACCAAATGGACCTTTATCTAATGTTATATCTAATGTAATAAATGTATCAGCACCATTTTTAACATGCAAAAATAGGTATATCACTTATTTGTTTAATATTTATTGGATAAGGTGGATTTGGAGTAAATGTTGAACATTCAAATGATATTGATATTGATGATGATATTATTGTAGATGTACATGTACAATTCACCAATATTTTTAATAGTTAATGAATAATTTGGTTTATCTAAATAACGTATATGATTAAATATAATTTGTGGAGGTCGTGGATGCACTTCAATTGTTGGTATTGATTCATTTTCTATGCGATCAAATTCATGTATTAATTCTTCACGAATACGATTTGAACGTTTTTCATCGCATTCATATTTAATAATAACTAAATATAAACCACTAACTGGACGATGATCACTAAATTTAATATTTGTTGCACATGAATAGTGTATTGTTTGAATTGTTTTTAATTCATTTTGATTATCATTAAGAACTTTTAAACGTTTTGAACGATATAATATACGATCAGTCCATGATGTTGTACGTATTTTTTCACTTGTATCATAATTATCCGTATTTATATCAAATTTATATGTTGGTAGAAAATTAATAGGTGGCTCGTAATAACCAGTAAAAACATGATCTAATTTCATTTCACAACGTAATTGATCTTTTTCTTGTAGAGCAACAGTTGAGAATTCATTTATTGCATTACGAACTTGTTCATTAGGTTGAGAGATTCGATAATTCATATTACCACACCAGAATATTATATCATGATCATTTATTTTCCACCTAAAAGAATTTTAAACTATGATTGATTAAGATGCACAAGAGAAATATGTTTTAATTCATTTTGTTTTAATTCTTCATTGTTGTCCTCATTTAAGAACTTCATACCTATTGTAAATTCCTTTCGAACTCATCCACAGAAAATTACCAAAAAAAAAATATTGATAGTTTTCTTTCATTCGAACTATTCATTCATATGCAATAGGCAGTGCTTTATCGAGCATGTGAGCAATGCACCTACAAGAATCAAGTTGACTCTCTCGAAGTTTGTGGTTATTGTAATATATGCTATGCTGTCAAAAATAAATCTTCCTCTTTTCGATGTCTTAAATTGCTTCTACGAAAGAGAAAATCTGAATATTCTTTTTATAACAATTAACATATTATTTTTCATGACAACAACATGAAAGTATATAATATCGAAAAAAGATTATCTGGAAATATTTTCGCAACAATGTTGAAATATAACTGAAAATAAATCATAGATTTAGTCAATTCATTGATATTTTTCAATATTTCTAAACTTCTTGAGTCTTTCTGATTTTGCTGAAATATTGCTGCATTCTAAGAACATTGTTCCAACTTAAACGCAGATTCGCCATCCGAGATTCAAATGAATAAAATAAATCTATTTGAAAAACAACTACAGGACAATCAACGAAAACTGTTGTCTGTAACATCGTAGTTGTTGTGGAGTCTTTCCAAAATCATAGTTTCACCGTTCCATTCGTAGATTTATTCATTATTAATGATAAAGATATTATACACCAACGAAAGATCTGACAACAACAATAACAACAACCAAAGATGAATACAATATGACAAATAGTTTGTTGAATAGTTTTTTAACATTTGTATTCTCTGAAGATAGTTGCTATTTCATTAAATAATAAACAAAAGAAAATTCTTTTTTTCTTTATCAATCATTTGGTAATAATCATCGTAAAATTTTTGCGATCTTTACTTTAATTAATCAATAATAATAGAATTTTGTTTAAATGAACAATGACAATATTTTTGTTTTTGTTTTAAACTTACCATTGACTAGGAATAGATGAATTTTGAGGATTAGAAGCACTACTACCAGCTGTTGTTGGTGTATACCAAAGATAATCTTTAATTGAATAAGTAGGTCTATCAGTAAAAGCCATACGTGATTCAATAGTTTGATAATCATCATTACGTCGTTGTATTTATCCATCACCCGATGCAGAATGTGAATTAATAAAACGTATATCAGTTTCATAAAAACGAAATCGAATACCAACTCCACCTTTATTACCAGCAAAACCGATAAAACCAGTTGGGACTGATGAACGAGATATTAATGTATATTTTGATGTATGAGTTGAACGTACATAAACAAATAATAATATACCTAAAACAAAGAAATCAATAGATTTGAATGAAACATACCAAGGGACGCTAAGCTTTTAGAAATTTGTGAAGCGTATGAAGTCTCTACTAATGTTTGTCTCATTAGAAATGGCAAATTAGGAGGAAAAGGTCGATAACTATTAGAATTGACTCCTTCTATGTCAAACTATCATTCAAGGTGTCCAAAAGTGAGTCCTGGTAGCAATAGTTATATAGCACTTATTTGGACTGTGCACAGATCGATTGAAATGAACAATGATCGACACATGTACATTGAATCAGATTATTGATGATAGGCAACACCTTTTAGCTACCCATCTCGTGAGAAAGACTAGGCTATTTTCATATGGATCGATAGCACTTTTCAAGTATCTCAAAATAATATCGAGGAAAAAAATTGACTACACAAAGAAATCCTAAGGACACTGTAGACTTCGATTAGAAAATTACAGTTTGAGTGAAAATTAATATGATATTCTGAAGCAGCATCTCAAACCGAGTAGACTTACGTGTGTTTGAATTATTTTTACAAACTTTTTTTTCGTCTGAAAATCTATCTCTGGTTCCCCTCAGAATTGGGTCAAAAAATGAATTTCATCGAAAATAGTGTGGGTGTGGGGTGTGAAGAAAGAAAAGAACACCCACACCCACACCCACACCCGCCCACACCTCACCCACACCCACACCACCCACACCCCACACCCACGCACCCACACCCATCCACACCCCACACCCGTACCCACACCCACCCACACCCGCCCCCACCCACACCCCACACCCACCCACACCCTTTTTGCTGCACAACAATTGTTCGAAATTTTACAAACATTTAAAGATAGTTACTTTAGTGAACTATATTCTTATCAAAGTATTGATTTTCATGACTAATATGATGAAGGTTCGGATGAAGAAAACAGTGCTGATGAAAATGAATCAACTGATGAAGACGAAAATATTGATGATTATGATGAAAATCAATACCTGAACATTCAGAACAGTTTTACATTAGACGAGATGGAAAGCATACTGGAATGGGTTGATCAACATCCAAATTATCAATTTGCATCTATTAAGCAAAGGTTTCGAAAAGTCAAGTACATACATTACATTACAGGATTTAGAGAATATATTAAAGCAAACGGCACAAGATTAGAAAAAGTTAAAAAAATCAAAGAATTTATGTGGAATGAATTTTATATGAAAAGACCAATTGAAAAAGAAGCAATTCATGATAGTGATCTAGAAATTTTTGCAATTCAAAAAGTAAGAGAACTAGATTGGAATAAGTTCAAAGCAAGTAATTCATTTATCAATCTGTTCAAGAAAAAATATGGAATTTCATCCAGAAGATACAACAAACTTATTACTCACGTTTCTTCGACAAGAAACATCTGTAGTTTGAAGGGTATGTAAAAGCTTCACTTGAGACTTCAATCTATTTATCTTAATACGATATATATGTATATTTCAGATGCTCACGACTGGATCGAAAATCATAGATCTTTAATTTCAAATTATTCTTCTTATGAAATATTAAACAGTGACTGTTGTTCATTTCAATAGGAATATATTTCTCCGTGTACTCTTTCTGTCAAGAATGAACGAACAACAGAAGTTGCTGTTAAAAAGAAGAATAATATAACGCACTCTTATACCGTCCAGCCTATTACATCAGCTGATGGTCAAGTATTAGACAAGTTTTTCCTTATTCTTCAAGAAAAGGAAAATGAATTCGGTAAAAGAGTAGAGAAGGATTTAAATGTTCCACCAAATATCGTAGTACGGGCTTCAAAATCTGGAAAAAGCAGCGGTGAAAAACATTGTACTTTTTTAAATGAAGTCTTACTTCCTTTGGTTGGCAAAAGATTTCTTCTTTTCCTTAATTGTTGGACAACTCAAGCTGATCTAAAAGAATTTAGAGCAGTATTTCCACATCAAGACAGTCAGTTACTGATTTTTCCTAAAGGATCAATTGGGTATATTCAGCCTCAAGATTTATCTTTATTCTGTTCATAGCGATTTATTCATGAAAAAATCGAGCATTATGTTCATATCAATCGAACAGAAATGAACTTGAACGATTGTCAATATTTCATAAATATGCACTGTATCATCCACAATCAACTATCTGCTCCACAATTTAAAAATCTTATCAAGTCTGGATTCGTACAAGCTAAAATACTTAATGAAACAATTGATGAAATAAAGAAACCAAAGGATGTTTGCTTTAAATTCTATGATATTTCTTGTCTAGTTACTAATTGTGAGGAACGAACTCTTCTGGTTTGTGCTTGGTGCGAAAGACACCTTTGCTATTATCATTTGATTGAAGACCTTCATCTCCATCTATAGTACATCTTTTGAAATATTATTTTGTATAAGTTATTAATTTCATGTAAATAAAGTCGAGACTATCGATGAATCGACAATTTCTATATATAACAATCAATATATTTCCTATTTGGTACCATCAGACTTCAGAAGAAGTTATATTTAGAGAGATCTTAATATTGTCAATAAATCTCGCCTAGATTTTAGAAACTCACTTCTTAACAATCTGATAATTATATTAAACGATTAATGTGACTAATTTATATATTATCATGCTTGTATACTCTAACAATGCATAAATTAAAAATTGAATATTTCTTTCCAGGTAAGCCATACGCAGCTCATATTTTAAATTTGTTAGGTTCTCACTGAATGCTTTATTTTTACCCGAATATAGTCAATCTTTTCGCTCAACAGTTCACACACCTCCATTGTTAGTATTTCTGGTCCACTAGCAGATATTTTTGGCGAAGAATTATTTGGTAAACCGTCAAATATTTCAAAAAATTTTGAACATAATGATTTTCTTGAAGAAATAGTAGTTGCTATCTAAATATTATTATGAGAATTCAAATTAAGATAGTTTTCTAATAGTATCTCTTAAAAGATTTAGATTCCTAGTGATATTTAACTATACTTTCGAATTTTGATCTGAAACTTCGCTCGTATAAAGAACTCACACTAAACTAGCTCGTCTGAAAAAACTCTAAAGTTTTGAACAAAGTCTCTTCAAGTGAATTTTTTAATAGCTCAGTTAAATCTGAATAGGAATCTAAATTATTATAGGAATTTTATTTCAACGCTATATAGAATTTATAGGCAAGAAAATCATTGAAATTGGAAAGAAATATCCAAAAAAGATGCTTATATGAGTTTAAAAGTCAAGTAATGTTGCATGTGGTTATGAGTAGTATGAAATTTTACAATCGACACATTTTTCTTCAAGATTTAGAAAAAGAAAGTCAATATCTAATTATCATTTTTCATTCAAAAAAAATCTATAATTAAATTCAACTTTTAAATTTATCATATTAAAGTTTTCCAATAACATGTAAACTATTCATATATTATTTCAGTATTGTTTTAATTTCACTCACAAATGTACTACTCGTCGATTCAAGAGTGATACTATGTGCATTTATTTCGTAAATGTTGAGTGTTCCAATAAAATCATCATCAGTCTTTTGATGATAAATATCAATTGGATAAATATGAAATTCAATAACAACAGGATATCGAGCATGTAATCGAAAACTTAAATCAACTAGAAAGAAGTTGTTATTATTGATTTGTAATAACTACGCCTAAAAATAATTGGAAATCATAGATATTATTTTCTTTTTTAAAATCATTCTGATAGACTTTCAATTCTCTGCAAATATCTGTTAATTTATGTAACGCATATTGAACCAGAGATGCACGGGGCATCGATTTTTCAAGCCCCGCGGGGCCCGCCCCGTGAAATTCACAAACCCGTCCCGCCCGAACCCCGTGTATAAGTTTTATGAAAGTCCCCGCCCCGCCTGTGCCCCGAAAAATCCATACCCGCTCCGCCCGTACCCCGCACAGGCAGCTTCTTGGACCGGCCCGCCCGACTCGTCATTTTTGCGACGGGCCCCGCCCCGCCCCCGTGTAACCCGAAGAAATTTTTTATTTACTAAATACTTTTTAATCATACATTCCTTTTATAAACAGATATCTCATCACCATTCTAGCTAAGAGGCTGTTGGATATTTTTTTAAAAACTTTCATCCTCAACAACGCTGGTAGGACAGATACTTTGAAATATCAATACCCTTTCCCTTCGCAAACTTATATACTTGACTCAGGCTAAATTCGATTGTCGCAAAATTAACCATACATAGATGAGATCCTTCATGCTTAAACTTGCACAAAGTATTAAATAAAAATGTTTCGAAGTTGAGAAGAAAATAAAATTTTACTATTCGAACTTTAGACACATTCGAATTACTTCATTTCCGGTGCTGTTCATATAATCTTAAATTGAGCTATAAAATTTTATAACGAAGTCAGGCTAAACTTGCATGAATTACTGGAGAAATCGCTGCTCCATTGTACTGTATAATAATGGAAAAGATAGATATAGCTAAAGGATTAAAATTAGCTGGACCAAGGCAAATAATTGAAAACGTATCCGAAACATTTGTTAAACACTCATGAAATTTGCAGTCAATTTGAAAATTAAAATGATAAAAGATACTCTATCAAACTATTTCAAAACAAAATATATTTATTTGTCCAATATGTTATAATTACTCGAAGAAAACATGTTGAAATTTGGCAAAAAATTTTTTGCCTGCTTCACGAAACTTACTCATTTTTTGACCGACACGTAAGACAGATCAAAGAAAAACTACCATTGGATGAAGTAATCAATGCTCTATCTGATCATATAATAATAAAAAAGTTCCTGATGTTTTGT